CAAGGCCTTATAGGTCTGTATAAGCAATGATTGATCAGCTATAGTCCTTAAATTCTTGAAAGCGAAGAATAACTTTCTCAATCTCGAAGTCACCAACGCGATATGCGAATCCCACCTAAGTTTATCGTCTATCATAACGCCGAGATACTTTATCTGATTTTCTCTACTTATGGTAGTGCAACTGCATCCAACAATATTATTGTTGTGGGAACGGTTGCATGGAAATATGTGGATGACAATCTTAAAAGTGTCCTTTTTTTCCTTCAACAGGTTTTATTCATACTAAAATAAAGATATTTAGTCTTATTAGTGTTGAGAGACAGAAGATTATCCTCTAGCCAGGAAGAGACAACACACATGCCCATCTCAGCAATGTGCTGCACAGCAATCCATGTGGGTGCATGAAATATAATTGCAGTATCATCTGCGAACATTAACAACTCTGCGCCAGTGAGCTTCACATTACACAATTCATTAATATAAATTAAGAAAAGTGTTGGGCCAAGAGTACTCTCCTGAGGAACACCGTAGCTACAGCTCAAACTCTGGCTTAAGGTGTGATCAACACATACCCTTTGAGTTCTGTTGGTCAGGTAGCTACAAAACCAGTCGTGAACATTTCCTCTAATACCCAGTCTGTTGAGGCGAACCAGCAAAATAGGAATAGATACGGTATCGAATGCCTTTTGCAGATGGAGAAAAACACCAACACAATGTTCACCAGCATCCAAAAAGCCAGATATCATTGAGGTAAGTGTTAAGACAACATCCTCGGTACATCTATCAGATCTGAAACCGTATTGGTTATCAGCTAGTAGGTTCTTGGTTGTTAAATAGGATATCAATCGCTTATAAACAATTTTTTCTATTATCTTTGACAATGTGGGTAATAGAGATATGGGTCGATAATTCGATGGTTGATTTCTATTGCCCGACTTATAAATTGGGGTCACTATAGCATTTTTAAAGCAATTCGGAAATACACCCTGTTCAAAACTTAAATTACATAAGTGGCTAATCGGTGTTATCAAAATTTCTTTTAAATTTTTAAGCAGATTTATGGATATATTATCATGCCCAGAAGCACATCCTGTCCTAAGACCGGTGATGACACCCGCCACCTCTGCAGGCGTTGTGAGATACAATGACGTCGAGTGTACCTGAGAATTGATGGCTGTAGTTTTCTCTGCTAACTCACTGTCAGTGGATTTTAGTTTAGATAATGTGACGTCAGCCAGATCCGCCCCAACCTCCGTAAAATATTTATTTACTTTATTAAGAGAAATCTCTGGAGTTTTATCTATCTTTAGAAAATCATGACAAGGTGTTCTATTAGGCTTTATATTACAGACTAGCTTTCGCTTGGTTGCCCCATACTGCGAGCAGCCCGGGGAGGTAACGAGTAGCTGGTGGAATCGGGGCGGTGGGGTTAACCGAATGACAATGTCTCGCTTGCTTTATTTTTCTGGCGTAAATATTGGATTCTTTTTTCTCATCACCTAAAGATTGAGTAATGATACACAAACGATCTTAATATGCTATAAAGTTCCCGAGTCGCCAACTCGGTCAAAATCAATCTGAAATATGGTGACTACTATCAGTGTTGCTTGTCGATCACTCAAATTATTCCATCGATTATGTTACAAAAACAACAGTGAATTTTTTGAATTAAAACTTTTTTCATCAATGTCATATATGACAGTTCCTCAAAAATCCCGGTATCAAAAATTTTCAGATTTTTGTTCATCTGGCAACACTTCAGCAGAATACATGTTTTTTGTTAGGAGTATTCTCAAAAATGTTACCAAAAACGCCAAAATCAGCTCTATAAAGTGAAAGTCGTGAAAAATGATCAATTTTCTAGATAAAATGGTCGCTATCTAATCCGCCATCTTGAATTTTGAAATTTTAACCTCATAACTATATAACCCACCTATTGGCGCATCCAACGCACTTTCTATTATTTTTCTAGCCGCAATAGTGACTGTGCTAGAGTCCAAAACGTGAATAGTGGGCATTAAATCTTCAACCCGCTGTAGCTGCCGGGGTTGCCAGGTGTAGGCAATGAAAATAGTCAAATGTGATTTCGGGATGCGCCCTCCATCGACGGATACCAATTTTCAAGTTCTAAAATGGTTCCTTTGACAGTTACAGTTTTTGGGGTAAATCTCAAAAATTACCCTAAAATCGGGTAATTTTTTTCCACCATATGAAAGAGTCTATAAAGATGCACAATCGCTTCATACATGCCAAATACCTTCGAGGTTGCCAAGTCGGTCAAAATCGAGGTTAAATTTCAAACGTTGTTTGCTCTCAGTGTTGCCAGTCGATCGTTCTATTTTTTCCATCGGGTATCTTGAAAAGTTAAAATCAAACTATTTACATCAAAAAAGTTCAAAAATTCGACAAAAATTGTTTCCTCAAAACTATCATAAAGTATCAAAAATTTTCGAGATTTTTTTTCACCAGGCAACACTTTAGTTACTTGCCTAAAAAATGTTTCCCTGGAAGTACTCTGACAAATGTCGCCAAGTGCGTCAAAATCGGCTCGACGTGGTGACGACACCCAATTTTTCGGATAAAATGGCCGCTGGTTTGGCCGCCATCTTGAATTTCGAAAATCCGGCTCCGTACCGGTGTGGCCAACTCGATAGCGCATTCGATGCACTTTTTACCATTTTCCTAGTGGCAATACTGACTGCGCTAGAGTCTACAAAGTAAAAAATGGGTGAAATTTTTCAAATCGCCACATACACCAGGGTTGCCAGGTGTCGACGACGAAAATGGCCAAATATCATTTCTGGGAGCATCCTCCGTCGAGGAAAAGCATTTTTCAAATTCCCAAACGGCTCCTTCTATTTTTCATCTTTTTGGGGTAAATCTCCGAAATTACCCTAAAATCGGGGAAAAAATTTACGTCATTCGAAAGAGCCAGCGGAGACTCACGACCGGTCCATACCAGGCGAAGAGCTCCGATGTTGCCATGTGTGCTAAAAGTGCGTTTGAATTTTTCGAAAAAGTGAAAAAATCACAAAATGGCCGCTGCTGGCGCCGCCATAATGATTTTCCCGAGTTTCATAATTTTCCTATAGTCACGACTATATTTGGCGTAACACTTCATTCACAGATTTTCTCCGCTGGCCACCCAGGTTCCCAGACAATTCGGGTTATGAAGGCATGTCGAAAAACATGTTTTCTACCGTGGAGGTTGTCAGCTCGCAAAAACGAAAACTACCAAAAGTCATAGGGCTCTCCCGGCGCCACACCGCACCGAGTCTGTTTTCCGCGAAAAGTGCGTATTTCGAAATTTCACTTTTCTCCCAAAATCTCATAAACTACCACGAAAATGGTAGAAATCGGTAGTGAAGTAGAAAGATCCCACTGAGCCCTACGACCGGCTTATATAGATAGCGAATCTGTCCGACGCCGCCATCTTGGAGAAAATCTCACTGGAAAATGGCGATTTTTCATTGCCGAAACAAAATGGCCGCCACCGTCGCCGCCATATTGACTCGCAAGCGAAAACTCCCCGTACGTGAAAATCGACTATAATTCCGAGTCGCCAGCGTAAAAATCCCCCTCCAAACACACCACAAAACAATTGACGATCGCCCAAACAGAGGTCTAAAAATGCCAATTTTTCGGATGAAATATCTCGGCCGCCATTTTGTTTTTTTAATCAAACCTTTTTTCAGTGTCATTTTTTTAACTACATCTACGACCATTTTGAATATCGTAATCGTAGAGTGTATACTTGAAAAATTAAAAAAATTATCTCGCCGCCATTTTGTTTTTTGACTGTATGAATAAGCTCCTTCAACTCGAATTAAAAAAATATTATAAGTCTCCATACATGAAAATGTCATTTTCCCCCTCCTTCTACCTGAAAAAAGCATGGAGTGAGTGAGTCAGTGAGTCAGTCAGTGGTAATTAAGCTTTATATATATATTTTTTTTATTAAATTGCCTGGCCCACAATACGGGCCGGGCCCTACACTGCACCCCACTTTGTAGCAGGCCTTTGTTTTTTCTAAATTCCACATTCATTCCAGTTCTCTCTTTTATCCTATTCCTTTCATGCTGCATTCCTATTCTTTCTTTTATTCTTATCTTTTTCACACTTCGAGTGGCCGGGTTCGCCACATCTATAACTACTTAGCTCCTATTCTGGGTTTTGTTTCTTTTATTAATAAGGTATTCAACGAGTTTTTATTCATTTAGTTTTCTTATTCTAATTATCTTACTTCATTTAGTTTATTCTTTTAATATCTAGCTGATACAATTATTTCTATTTATTGTTTTTTATTTACATTTCTGATTGTGTCTATCTTTATACAGTTTTTATTTACTAATTTCTATTATTGTTATCTTATTCTATTTTATTCTACATTTTATCTTTTGTTTTACACTTTATTCCTTATTGATTTTTCAACAGTATTAGCTTGCTTAACTATTTACATTTTGTCTTATACTATTACAGTTTATATAGGTTAATTGCTTTTTTGGTTACATCTCATTTAATCTGTCTCTATTTAATATTTTACGTATTGTGGTTTACTTATCTATTGTCATATTACATTTTATTCTTATTCTAACTTATGTACTATCTACATATTTATTTATTTCTAAATCTATCTGTTTCTAATTCTATTGTATGTTTCTACCCCTTTTATATTTTATTGTTTTATATTTGTGTCTATTCCTATTTTCGTTGTTTTGTTATTCCTATTTTTAGTCACTCTGGTCTATATTTACTATAGACCTTTGTGAACTGAACTTTTCCTTTTTTCACTGTTACTTTCTTATTTATTTTATTTATCTGTGAATAACATTCCTCATACCATTATGTACTATGTTATTCTTTTATCATCTTCATTCACTATTGCCTTGGGTATTTTTTGTTTTATGCCTAAGTTTACATTTCCATAATGCCTTAAGGCATAACATTTTACCCTTTTTATTAGATCTTTGTTGTATTTGTATTGTGTTTTCTGTGTGTTTTTATTTTGTTCTAGTTTGTATTTTTGTATGTCTTTGTGTATCTGTGTTTGTTTATTATTATTCGTATGCTGTGGTGGTGCGCGCCAGGTATTCCCACTTGTCGCGTACTCCACATTCCTTACTAAAGGCATTGTGTTCTCGGTTCTCCAGGCCTGCGTGCGCGCAGTTGCAGCACTGAGGCGCTCTACCCGCCTCTCTTTCGGGGCAATTTGCCCTGAGATGCGGGTCGCCACAGTGGCTGCATCTTCTCGCACTCTCCTGGCAAAATTTCATGCCATGTCCGAATCCTAGGCACCTCGTGCATTGGATGAGCGGCGATTGGTCTTCGACCTTTAACCGCTCCATCTCAACGTACAGGTACCCCCTTCCGGTCATGGCTTTCCATAATGTCGGCCTAATTTGGATTACCACGTGACATCTTTGTTCGTCTATTGCCTTTTTTCTAAATTTTATTTTTATTATCTTCTCTTCTTCATTGTTTATTAATTCCTTATTTTGATTTATTATTGATTGTACCAACTCCTCTTCGGTTATTTTATATGGTACTTCTTTTATGATCGCCAGTGGGTTCTTATTTTCTATTTTTTCGATTTTAATTCCTTTTCCTTTTTCTAATTTTCTTTTTATTTCTTCTATGTCTTTCTCCTTTTTACATCCTAATATTATCTTTTGATCTCTTACTTTTCTTATTTTATCTATTTTTATGCCTTCAGCTTTCGGGTCCAAGATATTTTTAGCTTTCTGTATCACTTCGTCTGCTGTATCGTTTATGTCTTCTGATTCTATTATAATAGAGTGGGTCGTTTGGGGTATGTATTTTCTGGTTGCACTGGCGTAGGTGTTGATTTGTACCATTTCTTGATCATTTTCTAGTTTCACTGTACTTTTATTCATTTTCTCCTCGATTATCGTTGACACTTTATTTGTTATTTCCTCTTTTTGTACTTCCCAGTTTAATTTTTCTTCTATTGTTCCTATCTTTGCCTTGGTCTCATCTATGCCTCTCATTATGTCAATTGCATGTCCATTTACAAGCATGGTGGTATCCTTTATTATTTCATTCCTTATCGTATCATTTGTCTCCTTTATTTTCTTTATTATTATTTCTTTATGTTCTCTCGTTTCGTTGCATATTTCATCCTGGTTTCCAATCATTGTTTCAATGTTTTTGTACATATGCTGCTGTTCTTCCAATATTTCTTTCATTCCTTTTACCGTTATTTCCTTAAGTTCCTCCATGGTTTCTATTATTTCCTCTGCTTTTTGTTCGTTTATTTCGTTTTTCATTTTTCCTTCTTCCTCCTTTCGGTCCTCTCTTGGTATTATTCCTGTCCTATTCGTTGTCTTTATTTTCCTTTCCAGATCTATAACTTCCGCTACTATATTATCTTCGCTAGTTTCTACTTTTTTATTTATATTTGCTATTTCTTCTTTTATGTTGATGATTGTTTCTTCTACTTCTTGCCTTTTTTCCTCCTCTTTTTCCTTCTTGTCTCTCCATTCATTAATGTTGCTTTCTATCATTTCTTTTATTGCCTTCAACTGCTCTTCCATTCCTTCCTTGTTGTCTTCTTTTTTCGTTATGCCCTCTTCTGCTATTCTTCTACTAATTTCTAACATCATAGTTATGCCGCCATCTGCTATGTTTTCTATTTGTGTTTTTATGTCCCTCCTCATTTGACTATAGACTGTTTGGGCTGTAGACTCGAATAATAGCATTACATTTTTTAGTAAATCGATTAAACTTTCACTTTTCATTTCATTTTTTGTTTTTGTTTCATATCTTCTTTTTATTTCCAAAGTTCTACGTGGTACTAATTCTCTCTTTAAAAATATTTCTCCTGCATCTTGCATTTTTTCTTTTTTATTTGATGATGGTGATGAGGGTGATTCTTGTGGATATTTTCTTATTGATTTAGAGGGGGATGTCTTTGGCGTTCTATACATTTTGGGGTGCAGTGTGTTCCTACTTTATGTATGCTTTGCCTTGTGTGTTTGTTATGTTGTGTTACTGTGTCGTGTGGTTAATATATGTGTTAATGTATGTTTAAGTGTTGCCGTCCAGTTTGCAGATCCACTGCGAGTCTTCTCTTCGACGTGTGTGTAGGTATGTATGGTTATTTTTTGTATGTTGTTGTATGTAAATGTTTTATTGTTTGCATGTGTGTGTATGTTGTTTATGTTAATTGGAGAGCCTAGCTCTATACGTCCGTGTCAAAACTTAATTACTAGGACTCGTCCCAATAGGGTACGATGTCAGAAAATTCTAAAAATTAAACAATTTTGAGTTAAATAAAGAAGTCAATTTTTCCCGGAGGTTTTTATGTATTCTATTATAAATCTTTTATATATTTTATGTAGTGTCAAGCCGATTTTAGTTTTAATTTTTTCCAATTTTTTTCCGCAGATAATGACGAAGTTGCGGACTTTTCAACGTTTTCCGGGTTTTACTCCGGAAACTCCGGGTCTAGAATGTCGCGTCCTGCGCCTCTCGAAAGTGCCTCTCAAGCCCTTTTACCTGATACCTCGCTTGCCCCGCTGCGTTTGATAGTTTCGGAGATATACCCCTTCGAAAATCGGCAAAAAACTCGGCCCGAATGGGACGAGTGCCGATATCTCCGAAACTATTGACCCTGTAGAACTGGGACTTTTTGGTATGTGGGAGAGAAGGTCCTGCCGCACCTGATTCCGGGGTCAGATGGATTTGCCCCGGGACCTTGAGCTAGGGCAAATTTGCCCTGTGGGTCTGGTAGGGTTTGGCAGGGGGTTATATGTGCAGGAAATCCCGTTCCCGTACGACGAAAGCTGTCCAAGCTACAGCCTCCCGAAAAAAGGGGGTGAAGTGACCCCCCCAAACTTTGGAGGCCTGTAACTCTACCCCTATTCGTCGCACAAAGATGGGACTTGGAGTGGTATGGGAGGGAAGGTGAGGTCTTGCCGAGGCGATCTCAAAATTGAGGGGTTGAGTTCAACCCCTCCAATCCGAACCTCACCCTATGGGATGTGTAAAGGGGATATGGGGACGGAAATGATTCGAAATCCCCGCTTTCTACGTCCAATATTGGCGGAGATATGGAGATTCCAAAATTTCCAAAATGGCTGAACCAAGATGGCCGACCACTTTTTGGAAATTAATATCTCCGTCAATACGTGTCGCAGCCGCGTGGGGATTTCGATGTCAGGTTGGGGGAAAGGAGGACTATAGGAATCCCGTTCCAAAACGAGGGTCCGAAAGAATTTTGGGTCCGAAAATTTTTGGTAATTTGAAAAGTCCAAAATTTGGGATTTTTGAATTTTGGGCCTGAAGGGGCCTAGGGGATTTAAAGCCAAACAATAAACCGAAAACCGCGTTTTGAAATTTTGAATAGCCAGGAAGTTATGGCGGGGCAAAGTTTCGGCCCACTGGGTCCAAGATGGCCGACTTTTTTCAATTTCTAAGATATAGGCTTTATTAGGTCAGTCTTTGGGGTCTAATATTAAGCCAGGAGGGTTATAGGTCCGATCCCGGTGTCGGTAGCACTCCAGATATTATGGATTTTTCGTAAGGGGGTGAAAAGCTTTATATATAAAGCTTTATATATTATAGACTAGCTTTCGCTTGGTTGCCCCGGGCTGCGAGCAGCCCGGGGAGGTCACGAGTAGCTGATGGAATCGGGGCGGTGGGGTTTTAAGTCCGCCTCCGTTGCAGAATTTGAGTTTTTCGATTTTTTTTGTTGTTTGTTTTATAGTTTGAAATCGCCTAAAAAGTTAGTAAGTTCTGTCTTCAAATGAAAGGTGTTTAAGCACCATACATCAAAGAAAAAGGGTTGCCAGTTTACGCTTAACAGAAAAAGAAATATTCAGTCGAAAAACGCAAGCAAAACTCTAAATAAATTATAGTCTCTTATTCTTATTCAATAGTAAGTTTATATTTAATAAAATATGAAAATGGATCGATTAGATATTTCCCCCAGTGTTACCTTAAATAATACAGCAAATAAATAAATGTCAAATTTCAAAGTCATACCTACGTAGAACACCTTCATTTTGAATATCAAAAGAACATGTTTTCTCAATAATCTAAAATTATAGAGAAATATATTTTATTTCTTTTCTCCATACTTACCTATGTGAAAGTGTGGGTAAAGATACCTACACAAATGGTCCATATATACACGCTATAAAGATCCCGAATTGTCAAGTCCATCGAAATCAAAATTGAAATTAAAATGGTCACGATCATCTTTTAAACATTATAAACCAAATGTTACCATCAACAAAAGCGATACGTTTCTGGCACTTCGCCGGCCGCTGCTGCGGCACGCTCGCTACGCTCGCTCGGCTCGTGCGTTGTTTTTCATACACTAACCTAACCTAACCCATACGTCATAATAAACCTATACAAGTTTTTGTTGCTTTACTTATTGTAAAATTCTTGAGCATAAACGAGTCGCTTGTGGAATCGGAGCGGTGGGATTTGAGGTCCACCTCTAGTTATGTTTACAGTTTGAAAGGCCTAGAAAAAGTTAGTGAGTTCTATCTTCAAATAAATTATGTTTAAGTACACAAAGCACCATACGTCAAAGAAAAAGGGTTGCCGGTTTACACTGAATAGAAAAAGAAACATTCAGTTAATAAACGCAAGAGAAACTAAAATAAAATTTGGAATAGATCGGCTTGTAGTCAATTATTCTCTTATTCTTATTCAAAAGTAAGTTAATATTTAGTTAATACAGATATTGGAGTTTTAAGACCGCCTCTTGTTATGTTGGGTTTACAGTATAAAATTGCCTAGAAAAAGTTAGTAAGTTCTATCTTCAAATAAAATATCTTTAATTACGCAAAACATCATACACAAAAAAAAAGATTGCCAGTTTACACGCAATATTAAAAGAAATATTTAGTTGAAAAACGTAAGAAAACTTAAAAATAAATGTTGTATACATCGCCTTGTAGTCTTTTATTCTTATTCAATAGAAAATTTCCTAAAAATCACAGTATCAAAAAAAAACTGTTTTTTATCATCCGGCAACTAATCTGAAAAATGTTATGAATAACGCCAAAATCAGCTCTATAAAGTAAAAACCGTGAAAAATGTTATGTTTTCTAGATAAAATGGTTGCTGTCTTAGCCGCCATCTAGAATTTTAAAATTTCAGCCTCAGACCTAAATAGCACACTTGTAAGCACATTTGGTCACAGTTCCTTAACCGATTGACCAGGTCTCCATTTATTATGGCTCGCTTCGCTCGCTTTTTCTTTTTGTTTTTTCGCAGTTCTAATCTAACCGATTGACCAGGTCTCTATTGATGGTGTCCTTTGAAGCTCGCTTCGCTCGCATTTTATTTTAGTCATAGTTCTAACCCTACCAATTAACCAAATCTCTCTTAACAGTTTCTCCTTATGGCTCGCTTCGCTCGCTTTTTGTTTTAGACACAGTGCTAACATAATCAATTATGGCTCGCTTCGCTCGCTCTTTATTTTGGTCACAGTACCTTAAGCAATTGACCAGGTCTCCATTTATTATGGCTCGTTTCGCTCGCTTTTTGTTTTATTGACAGTTCTAATCTAACTGATTGATCAGATTTCTATTGGTGGTGTTGTTTATGGCTCGCTTCGCTCGCATTTTATTTTAGTCACAGTTCTAACCTTACCAATTAATCAAATCTCTCTAAATGGTCACTCTTTATGGCTCGCTTCGCTCGCTTTTTGTTTTATTCACAGTTCTAATCTAACTGATTGAACAGATTACTATTGGTGGTGTTGTTTATGGCTCGCTTCGCTCGCATTTTATTTGAGTCACCGTTCTAACCTTGCCAATTAATCAAATCTCTCTAATTGGTCACTCTTTATGGCTTGTTTCGCTCGCTTTTTGTTTTAGTCACAGTTCTAATCTAACCGAATGACAATGTCTCGCTCGCTTTATTTTTCTTGTGAAGATATTGGATTTTTTTTTTCTCACCACGTTAAGATTGATTCTTGAGTCTATGTCTAATGGTCTATATATGCAAAGCTTCCGAGTCGCCAGCTCAGTCAGAATCATTCTGAAATTAATATGGTGACTACTATCAGTATTGCTAGAACTCAAATTATTCCATCAATTATGTTATAAATGCAACAGTAAAAATTTTATTAAACAGTGTTGGCAACTTAATGAAATCAACATTAATTGACCGGAAGTTGACGCCGGTGACGCCATCTTGCGGCGCACAATGACGTTCACGTGCAAGATGGCGACTAGATAAGCAAGCAACCGACCTAAGCATGGCAGTCTTAGTTCCGCTCGCGCTGTGACAACTAGTGTAAATTATAAAATAAAGTGTTGTGATTATTGATAGCTATGTGTGATGTATGCAAATTAGTGAATAAATAGTTTGATGATTGAAAGTGAGGTTTTAGTTAACATCAGAAGTGGGATATTAGGCGTCAATGGGCTCTCGCAGGAAGCGCTCTAAACGTCGCGAAAGACGCTCGAGTTCGACGTCGAGTAGCTCGAGTAGCGCTCGAACACCGTCGCTCTCACCGAGACAAAGAAAAAGGTAGCACACAAAACTGACACCGCGACTGTAAGTACAAACAACAGCTTAATATTGTGCAATATCATACCAGAATTTGACCCGTTAATAGACGACGTAAATGCATGGCTTAATATTATCGAATCTTACTCTCAAACGTTTGCCTGGTCGGATGAAGTGATTCGCTATCAAGCTTTGAACAAATTGAAAGGTTCCGCTAAAACATGGTACGACTCCTTATTACATACTGAATATCAGTGGCCATCTTGGAAATGGAAAGATTGGCGAATAAAGCTATCGGCTTGTTTTCAAAGTAGGAGAAATATTTTTGATCTTCTAAAAGAAATACTCGATAAAAAACCCATAGAAAATCAATCTTTATACGATTTTTACTTTGATCAAAAATGTAAAATCGATCGTTTGTCACTAAACTTTACACAACAAGATATTATAT